ATGAAGGAAAGGGATTCAAGAAGTAGAAAGAGGGAGAGAGAGAGTAAAGCGAATTGTGGTGAGTGAGGCCTAACAGAACTGAGCTTGTGTCTGCCTCCCATTTTCCCCCCCTTTTCACTGCTGTTGCTTGCTCTTTGCTGGAGAAGCTGGAGCTGAGGGTTCCATACAGTGCTTTTAGGTCTTTACACTGTCATCAGATTCCCAGAATTGCTTGCACATCAGCCCACAGAGATTCAGTGTCACTACACTGTACTATGCTAAGCTGTACTTGGGTGAAGATTCTTGATCATATTTCCATATCCTCCATTTTGGCTCCAAGTACTCCCATTTGCCATTGAAAACAGGCAGGATAATTATGAACACAATCCTCTTTTCCTTCCTTATTTTTCTTTTCTTTCCCTTGTACACTGAGAGAACTGATTGTGTGCCAAATGAGGCCAGTTCCCTTTAGGGTTCCTGGATTGCACTCCAGAGATTGTGTTTGCCTCCATAATTTTTGAGGTTGCAGGAGAAGATAAGAACATATAATAAGAGAACCCAGTGTTGGATCAGGCCAATGGCCCATCCAGTCCAACACTCTGTCACACAGTGGCCAAAAATACTATGTGCCATCAGGAGGTCCACCAGTGGGGCCAGGACACTAGAAGCCCTCCCACTGTTGCCCCCCCCCCCCAAGCACCAAGAAGACAGTGCATCACTTGCCCCAAACCGAGAGTTCCTATCTATACCTTGTGGCTAATAGCCACTGATGGACCTCTGTTCCATATGTTTTATCCAATTTCCTCTTGAATCCGTCCGTGCTTGTAGCTGCCACCACCTCCTGTGGCAGTGAATTCCATGTGTTAATCACTCTTTGGGTGAAGAAGTTCTTCCTTTTTATGTTTTCTAACCTCACCACTCAGCAATTTCATTGAGTGCCCACAAGTTCTTGTATTATGAGAAAGGGAGAAAAATACCTCTTTCTCTACCTGCTCTATCCCATGCATAATCTTATAAACCTCGATCATGAGCTACCTCAGCCGTCGTTTCTCCATGCTAAAGAGCCCCAAGCACTTTAACCTTTCTTCATAGGGAAGGTGTTCCAAACCTTTTATCATTCTAGTTGCCCTTTTCTGTACTTTTTCCAAAGCTATCATATCCTTTTTAAGGTGTGGTGACCAAAACTGTACACAGTACTCCAAATGATGTCGCACCATTGATTTATATAGGGGCATTTTGATATTGGCTGATCTGTTTTCAATACCCTTCCTAAATAATCCCCAGCATAGCATTGGCCTTTTTTATTGCAATTGCACACTGTCATGTCACGTGTCATATCATGCATCTCCTGCCTGAGTTTTCATTAGCTCCTGTGGCCTTCCTTCTCCCCACCCTGAAGGCTAAAACAAAAAGGATTCTGCTTACACCCTCCTAAAGGGAGGAGGCAGGGAAACTGGCCAGTCAAAGGGACTGATGGACAAATGATCCAGGAGGGACAAGAGCTACATTTTCTTTCTGCTCCTTTGGAACTTTTAAAAATGTTGATGGGAACACTGGATTACAATCTAGCAATGCTAGTTCACCTGTAGATACAGACCCTACTTGTGTTTAGCTATCACAGAGTATGGCCCAGCAATTAGAGAGCTGAACTGGAAACCAGGAGACTTGGGTTGGATTAGAGTTCCTCTGCCACAGATTTTGGGCCAGTCCTTGCTTGCTGTGTGCCTGTGTTGAAGCTCTCAAAGGGAAAACTGGGGTATTTGTTTTCTGGAAAAAAATAAGTGCTTTTTGTATCCAAAAACTCTAAAAGTGGGGATAAAAGGTAAAGGTTTCCCTTGCTCGAAAGCCAGTCGGATCCGACTCTAAGGGGCGGTGCTCATCTCCATTTCCAAGCTGAAGAGCCAGCACTGCCCAAAGATTTTTCCATGGTCATGGGGCCAGCATGACTAAATGCCGAGGTGCACGGAACACTGTTACCTTCCAACCAAAGTGGTACCTATTTATCTACTTGCAATTTCTTGCTTTTGAACTGCTTGGTTGGCAGGAGCTGGGGGCAGAGACAGGCGCTCACTCTGTCACACGGCACTAGGGTCTCAAACTCATGAGCTACCGACCTTCAGGTCTGCAGCTCAGCGTCTTAAACTCTGAGCCACCGCGGCCCCGTTAGAAGTGGGGGTACTGGTTGTAATAGGGATTGTCTCACCTGAAGAACCTTCAAGATGGGTAGCCATATTAATCTGACTGTAGCAGTAGAAAAGAGCTAGAGTCTAATAGCACCTTAAAGACTAACAAAATTTGTGGCAGGCATGAGCTTTCATGAATCAGCTGTATCTGAAGATGTGAGCGATGACTCACGAAATACCCTGCCACAAATTTTGTTAGTCTTGAGATGCTACTGGAATTTTGCTCTTTGCTGTTGAAGAACCTTGGTTGAGAGCTGTGTGAATGAAAAGAAGTAAAGTATGAGTAAAAATGTTCAAAAAAAATAATTATGTAAAAGCTCAAATGCAAGGCCCACGTATGGCCATGTGCCCCTTGAATCTTCCCAGCTATGTGTCATGCTAAGCTGGTCCATAGCAATGGAGTCACTTTAAGCCTGTGGAAGGTTGGACTTCTGGTTTTAGCAATTTGCTGGATGGGTGCACTCCATCATTTTCTGATGTGAGTGTTTTGTAATCGCGGCAGACGGGAGGGATTCCAGATGATTCCGGAGGGTCCCAGAGCCCTTGTAGGGGGCTTGTTGCCTGAGGCGTAAGGGGTGCCTCTTCTGAGGTGACGGCTGAGGAACTGAGGCTCCTCTTTGCCCCGATAGGTCCTGCCGCCACAAGACCAGTATGGAAGCAGAGGTGCATGCCGGGCTGAGCGAGCAAGTGATCTAGCATTTTTTGAATGGCCGTCCCCACCTTTGGTCAAATCCGCGGAATGAACTGTGAATGCAAGTTCTCATGTAACTAATCAAGCCTTTAAGTGGATAATCGCTCCAGCCCCAAGCTGAATTGGAGGAGGGGGAGGAGTTACCCCCCTTAAATAAGCTGTGATCTATGAGCGAATGCAAGGGGCAGAGAGATGGTTTTGAGTGGAAAATGTGACAACTAACCGAGTAATGTGCAGAATAGAACAAAGCGTATAGAAACAATAGACTTTCAGAGACTTAATCAGATTTCATCTGTGTAAAAAATGTGGATGCAAGGAGATAAAATGGCGGTTAGGAAGAAACTTCTTTCAGGAACTGCCAGCTCAGCGACGTCATCTCCCAAACCAGAAGTAACCACTGGTTTTCCAAACATGTTGGCTACAGTGCTGCGCCCTCTGCTGGACCAGATGACTAAACTCAACAATAACTTTGATGTTCTCCAGAACCAGTTGAAACAAATGGCGACCAAGACAGAAGAAACAGTCAAGGTGCTTAAAAAATTGAAGCTAAGACAAATTTGATCAACCAGAGGCTAGAGGTTGTAGAAAAAGAAAGGCTCTCCGACAAAGAGCAGCTGTTACGTCTACAAATGGAAAAATCACTATATGTCCTGAGAGTTCAAGGTATCCCAGAACAGAAGGGTGAGAACTTAAAAGAGATTTTAAGCAAAACATTGGCTCCACTGGCAGATCTTAAAGCAGAATCTATACAAAATGATATAGATATGGTTTACAGAACCTATCCAGAATTTATCAAGAAAATTAAACTGCCTGGTGAAGTATTTGTTAAGTTCTCCAAGAGGTCAATGAGAGATATAATTCTGAAAGCGACAAATGGGACAACCCTGAAAATCAAAGGTGACGAGGCGAGAGTCTTAAAAGACATTCCATTCGAGATAAGAAAATAGAGGAAGCAGTATAAAAATCTAACTTCTTTTCTACAGTAACATTCTACTCCCTTCAGATGGATATTGCCATAAGGCCCTATCTTCAACTATAAAGAGAAAAAAGAGAAGATTGATTCTGTTCAGAAAGCAAAGACTTTTTTGGAGTAACATCAAACAACTGCAAAAGAAAAAAGCACAGCAGAGGACAACAACCAAACAGAAGGAAACAGCAAACATGGACTGGGAAACAGTGGAAGCACCCCTGGTAGTTCCTCAGAAGATTATGAATCTGAGAAAGGAGAAGGAGCTTTTAAACACCTCATAATTAAACTGAACTATGATAACAACAAACACAGGAGATAATGATGTGATGTATACCTTAATCTGAAAGCCTTATTCTCTTTTGATATATAAGAAACTGGGATGCACCTACTCTGGCTAATTATGCTTGTATTAGTTTGGTTTTAAAAAAATAGTAGAAAATATCACTCCTTTTATTTTTTCTTTATATGTGGGAAGACTATTATGATATTGATGTAACTAATGTAACATGATCCTTGCTTTAGCTTTGTATTTTAGTTTCAGTATCCCTAAGCCTGTGGAAGGTTGCATCTGTCTGAGCACAGGGCAATTAAAACAGGAAGAATGCTTTACATATCTTTTATGTTTATTCTTGGTGCCTCTGCCATGCCAATAATATCTACATTCACGGGGGGGGGGGGTTGTTCAGGAGGGTAGAGTTTGTCTGTGCCTTCCCCCTCCAGACACATACACCATGCACCAGAACAGAACCTGTGATACAGAACAGGACTTGTCCCCTGGGGTAGCATTCTTCATCCTGCAGCCCCTTGTTGTATTTTAGCACATAACGGAAACAAATGGGCTGCAGAGGATATGCTGAGCATGCAGGAAGCACTTGAATGTGGCTGTTCGAATTGCCAGCCTAGATCAGCTAAGTGCAGCCTGCTTCCTTGAGTGCCAAGCATGGGTGATCCTGGAAAGCACTCTGCCTTTTGTAT